GTTTATTCGTTTTTGTTCCTTTTCTGAAGTGACCACAGTGGATTGAGTCATCACCCACTATGAGAATGTCCAGAAGAGATTCACCAAGTTTGAATTCATGAAAAGGCTTTCGCCATGATTAACTATTGCAAGAACAGCTGTAATTTCTGAGCATTTCTGGACACCTTCAAAGAGCTGCTTCCAGGAAATGAAGACAAGAAGAAGATCTCCTGTTTTCAGAGCATTACAGGAAGACTATTACGAAGGAGATGGCTGACATAATCAAAGCAAAAAATGTTACTGTTGAAATAACCTATTTTCTTAAGTTAAAGAATAAGTAATTCTGTTTTAGTTTTTCAATCATTCTTTCAGAGTTACAATATACTGACCAGACGTTAAACCCTCTGTTTGAAGAACAAGTTACCTTTTGTTTTATGGACAGCCACCCAGGGTGGCATATTATGGGGGCCATTATCTCCCCATGACCTCAGTTGTAAAATCCCCTCCATCCCCCGCTCTTACAACTAGATTATCTGACTGTTAACAGTACCAAATTGTAGTACACCCAAAATAATTGTGTGACCACTTTTTTTTTAGTGTAGCAAAATTGTGGTAAATTTCTTTCATTTCTAATAGACTTAAATGCTTGGAGGAAAGAACTGATAAAGACTCCACTCACATCAGATGCAAACTGGATGACAAACAACACATTGTGTTCATTGCCGCTGCATTTTCCTCTATTTCTACAGACTTATCATTTTGTAACTGCGGTACCAATCCTGGAAGCCATAACATAAAACATTATCACACCAAAACCCACAACCATGAAGGACCTCCCCATCCCATCTCAAAAACTTCACGACAGTAGCTGGGTCCTAACTAGGACCGCCTCTGTTTATATAGAAGAGTCATGGTAACAGCTGTGAAGCAGCTGACTGCAGATAGCCTACACTCTTAGAAATGACTGTACATTTACAGCAGAATTCCAGCAGTAACATACTGTTATTCCAAAATACGGTAGGATATTGTCAATTTGATATCTTCTTCTGTTGTCACAATAAAGGCTGACGACTGGCAGTAAACTACCGCAAAATAATTGTACAATACAGTTTTTTTTTCCTAGGCAGTATGGCATCTTCTCTGGAGCTTATCATAACAAGGTAAGTTACCCAAAGCTAATAAAACATGCCCTCTACTTCTGTCTTTAATGTATTATATAATCTTATGGTGATGTATTGTCTCAATGTTTGTAACCCCCTGACGGACATTATACCACAATGTATGCTGTGTTTATACTGTTATGTATTCTGTATCTCAATTAAGATCTATTTAAAAAAACAAACAAACAAAAAAACAAGGTAAGTTCCATGTTAAGATCATCATGTTTGATTAATTTTTATGAATGCATTAACTTTCTGTTTGCGCAAGAGTAGGTGCGTGCGATCCGCGCTGCGGTAAAGCAGCGGCAGCACGCGAGGCAAAGCGCAGAGGCAAAGCGCAGAGGCGCCAGCTGTGTGATTGGTCCGCGCTGTCGGCTTTAAATGTATAAACTATAAACCTATCTATTATAAACCTATCCTTTAGGAATAAATCTGCTGTGCTAGTGAAATGCTAAGAGCCAAAGTGACGCTTGCAGCCCGGCTTTAGAAAAAATAATAAAAAAAAAACAACTATTTTTTTCCCCCTAGAAACGTAAACAAGCAACGCTTAGCCTGGCGGCGGGGCTAGTAAAGCATGGCGGGCCACCAGGCTTATAATACACTGGGGGAAACCCTGCAGGACCGATGCTGATCTGACAGAACACTGGATGAGGGGAGAGTTCAGTGTGTGTTAGCAGTGAAGCTAATCAGTTGAGTGTAACGGTTTGTTAGAGGTGCGAGCTGCAGCCTCAGGAATAGCAGCTCGCTCTTATTTCTAATAAACCCTGTTGGCGTTGTTACTGTATTTACTTACAGTAAACCACTTTAAAAGGTAATTACAGTATTGAAAAGGGAAATTTCGAGTAAAATACTGGTAGCTTTTTTTTTTTTTTAACCGTTTTTTTTGAAAGAACGGTAAAGAAAACAAAACAAACAAAAAAAAACTGGCGTCTAGCTACCAGTATTTTTTTTTATCGTTCTTTCAGAAAAACGGTAGATTACAGTTCTTTCAAAAAACGGTACACTACTGGCAGCTACAGCTGCCCGAAGTTTACAATGCAAGTACGGTTTCTAAACCGTACTTGCATTGACGGTAATCTACTGTCAGGATTAGTTACAGTACAGCTACTGTGCATTTACAGTAAACTTCTGGCGTCTATAGCTGCCAGTATTTGACTGAAAATTTACAGAATTATTTCTTAGAGTGTAGCTAATTAGCCAGCTAACATCAGCTGTATTATTATTTGACATTAGGATGTCAAAAAGGGACGATGTTCTTATAAAGCATTTGAAAACTATTTATTTATTATATGTTTATTCTCCATTTCAGCTGAACTTTATTTCAAAATTAAAAATAAGTAAATGGAGGATTGCTATGACATTATAACAATCAATATGGGATGTTATTTGAATATTATTTCTGAGGTAACTGAAATAATATTGTTTTAAATAAAAGCAATAAGATCATCAAGTTGTAAAAGAAACAACACAGTTTGTAGAGATAAACGTTCAGAAACTGTGGATTACTCCAGAGTTCAGTTATTGAACCAATTTTTTAAAATTATTTTATATATCAGTGATCTAGTTAAAGTACTTCAAAGTATTCTCTTTGCAGATGACTCTACTTTTTTTAATCTGGTAAAAATTTGACAAATGTGTTGGATGTGATTAAAAATAATTTGAGCAATATTAAAACATGATAGAATGTAAATAAACTATCAATGAATGTTGAAAAACCTAATTAAGTCATATATTTTGGAATAAAGAGGTTCCTACAGAAGTACTGATTGATGCTGATGGAGTTATGATTAAGCATGTGAGAGAGGTCAAATTCCTGGGTGTTACTCTTGATCATAATATAAACTGGAAACCACACATCAACAATTTCACTGAATGATGCATTGTTGATATTTTTTTCTTCAAACTACTCCATTGAATTCAAATATTTTGTTTATGTTAACATAAGGTATTTTAAATAGTAAATAAATGAAATAAAAAAATACATTAATTCATGTTTTTTGTTTGTTTTAAATGATGTTGTGAAATAAATGTTATATCATGAGAATCCCAAAGTTTAACAACCTCGAAAATATCGATAATACAAAAGAGTCGATTGGGGCGCAGTTCATCTCAGATGAAAACCTTCTGTTTATTGAAGTAGAAAAGCTGGTGGAAGATTTCAAAGAACCAACCTCATTTGTATTTTTATTTATTAAAGATCTCATAATATAAGACATTTTGATCCTCAACATAAAAACCGCTGACGATCTCCCAAAACACGAAGGGCACAGCTAATGTAACTGATTAGATTTAAATGGCTGTATCCTCCTGACACTACAGGAGCCTGTCCTTGCGCTTAGTGATTTTCCTGCAACTTGTTGTCAGCATAAAGTCAAAGCAATTTGTGTTTGCTTGGCTTCAAAGTAAATTATTTTCCTAGGCTATTACTGCCAAAGCTGGAAACACACAAGTTGTGTGCATAGTTGAGACAGAAAGACTACACTCCAGAGTGATTTGCTAATATAATGTTCACATGCAGAACCAACCCTTCATCAGCTTTCAAAGAAAATAAGTTCATTAGATGTTTCCAGCAGGAAATTGGTGACACAAAATTAAAACAAACAAATCTTTTGTGTGTAATAATGATAGAAAATAATTCAGAGTGGGACTTTAATTAATTTTGATTAAATAATTGCATACACTTTAACATGTTAAAAGTTTTAACACAGTAAAATGCTTTTCTTTTACATACAAAAGTCCGGAGCTGGAACTTTTGTTGCAAGTAGGGATGGAAATTGATAAGAATTTATTGATACCGATTCCATTATTAATCTCGCGTATTGATTTAATTCCTTATTGATTCCCTTATCAATTCGCATTGATAAACTCTTTTATTCAAAATATGCACTATGATGTATTTGATTTAAAACAAAATAAAGCTGACTTAAAAAATAAGAATCTCTGTTTCAAATGAGCATTTTAAACACATTACACAGGCAGTCTGTGTAATGTGTTTAAAATGCTCATAACCTAAGTTTAACAGCTTTTATTTATTTTAATGATGATGACTTCTTGATTAAAGCTAATGAAAACATTATATTTAAGATTAGAATATTATATCAGACCAACAAAAATATTCTTAATGCAAAAATGTGGCTCTAATGAAAAATGTGCTCTTAGTCTAACAAACAAGCCTTATCTGAAACTATATTTAAATTTATTGAATGTGATTGTAAATGTTAATATTAGATGAAAATTATTCATACAATATGACGCTAAGATTAATACAATAACAAGGACGCGTAGGAGATGCTGTGCTGGAAGATCTCTCCCCTGGAGAGTCACCGCCATTGCTAAGCAACGTATGAAATACTTTACATCTGTTCAAATCAGCTCCATGCTGTGTGGTCAACTGTTTGAGAATGTTGGAGGTATTTACTCCTTTTATTGTTTATTGTTCCAAACATGTTGCAACTGGCCCTAGAATCGTCCTTTTTGTGATATATGGGGATATTTTGGAGCGTTTCTGCCGTGACGCCATCTTGGATATTTTCTAAATGTAGAATACAATCACTCAAATACGCCGCACATTACAGGAACCGACAAGTGGAATTGTTAAGCAGGGGGCTTAACGATTTCAAGGAATTGACCTACTGAGAACCAGTTCTCCGTCCCCATGCTGATGGTTGAATGACCTAAATAACAGATTAAAAACAATTTAGCAGCAAAAAGGATTTTTGAATTATGCATGTTTATTTTGTTTCTATGTAGTTTTGGAATAATTTTGCAATTAATTTGATGAAAAATTTTAATTGAGTCCCACCACTAAAAATAACACATAACACATACTAATAGACCATACCACTGGCTTCTTCTTTGGTTGTTATCTCCAATCTGGGTCCAAAGGTTCCATATCCTGCCTCTGTGAAAGCCCTGATCTGGAACACATAAGCTGTGCTCGGCTTCAGGTTGTTCACCTTAGCAGAGGTGGATCTAGACCTCACTGTGGAGTAGATCCGGTCCTTCTGGTCCTGCACAAGATAAATATGGATATGTTAGCAGTTACTGTTCTCAATGTATGCCTAGGTTTTTGAAAAGTTAGTTAGAGATCTTTGCTTTGAACGAGCACAGATAAATGGAGGTGATAAATGTAATTAACTGTTCTTGGTAAATATTTGAGATGACAACATTCTGAATTCTCAGATTAACATTCAAATGAGGCTTTCTGTTGGGACAGACAATTATATTGGAAGATTTAGTGTAATGCATATTTCCACAGCATTAATTCCATCAGAGACGCATCATTTTCTCTGCTTGACTACTCATTCTTTTTTTTAAAGCAATTAAAACTTTTTGTTTTTCCATTGCAGTTCCTTTGACTTTTCATGTAGGTTCATTCCTTTTCTCCTCCTGCTTAGAAATAGCTCATTAGTTTTGTTGCAGTTACCAAAACCTTAATGCTTTCACAGTCCACTTTCACAGAAGCTCACAGGATTTAAGTTCTACTATAAAAATTATCAACATAATGAAACAACATACCCTGTGGCATGTTTTACAAAAGGTGAAAAATACAGCTGAGTTAGAGTGAATGGAGTGATTCAGCACATGCTCAGTATCACTCTTTTTGCTTACTGCAGAACCAGAAAGAATGTTACTTTACTTTACTATTATTATTTCATAATTAACTAAGGATTTTTAGGTACATAAACTAAGCTAGGCCCTAAAGGACGCTCCCCGTTGAAGTCAGTTCCATAGCGTATGTGTTCAGTGCTGGGCATCAGCTATTGATTTTTCTTCTTGTGGAAAGTAGTGTGTGCATGTGAGTGCGTAAATAAAAACAACAACTTTCAGATAAAAACAGGAACCTTCTGTTACAATGCCGGACGTAGACAACTTCTGGTCTAATCAACACATTTTAACACATTGTATCAGTAAAAAGCAGTCCAATTAAAATAATAAAGATATTAGAAAGTAAAAAGCTTAAACATATAAACACAAACCTGTAACAGTATTAATGAACTTTCAATGTGTGAGCACATCCACCCAGGCTGATAAACCGATGGGACAGTAAGGCAGTATAAAAATATACAGTGTTAAAAAACTCTTTGTTGCAAAACGAATATCATTTTGCAACAAAAAGGTTTGGGTCTGCATGCTCAGAACATTTTGTTTTGTATAAAATCTCCCTGATCCTTCCATAAAAATACAAATTTAAATATTTTCATGCAACCAATTCTATTCAACTATTATTGTGGTTCATAAGTCTATGAAATAGTGTTTGTACGAACTGACATTTTCCAGATTTACCTTGCTAAAAGTTTAATTTGTTTTTGGCCGTATTTTAACAATCATTAATTTCAGTCTTTTGTATTTGTATTTTATAAAAGTAGAGGCGAACAATAAATTGAATCACAGTTGATACTGACATGTTCATTTATGCAATAACTAGGCCTGTCACCATAAACGATAAATCAATTAATCGCACGATAAATTAAACCTATCGACCTCATTTTAATTATTGTCTTTGTCGTCTCTTTCTGCATTTTTTCTTTCTCTTGATGACACTGAATGAAAAAAGGCTCAGCTCCGGTGCTCTCCACTGA